TCTTCATCACCAAATTTTATCTTCTTTTGATGTCCTTTTAGATTTTACTCAACTTATACTCATTGACATAGAAAGAGAGAGAGAGACAGAGACAGAGAGACACACAGAGAGATACAGAGACAAAGATATCCTTGTGTTTGGTTTTGTTACCTTATTTTTTCATAAGTGACAACAGAATATCAGAAAGATTAAGCAACTTGCCCAAGATCACCCAGTAAGTACAAATGCAACTATGATCCAAATGTAGAACTTTTCTCATTCAAAGGCTAGTATAATTTGACCTTTATATCTATTTTTCTTACCTACTTAGAAAATTAATTGAAGTTTTTTTTCTATTTTCTTGAAAACACAGTGGTTTGTTGTATCTGTAAAAAGTATTTATACTTACGAGCCAAGGAGGACATAATGATGAAGAGGGTGGTCTTTCTAGGGCTAGACACATCCATTGTACTCCCGATGTGCTGACCCTTGTGATTTCCCCAATGCGGGAAACTCAACTACAAAATTTGTGATAGTGGGCGACTGTGTTGTCACTCTTCCCAGTTAGTATAGAAAAGAACAGTCTTCCTTCATAAAACAAGGAACTTATTATAAATAATACTGTAGAATATAACTAAAAACCTCCATTGGCAAAGGGAAGGATAACTAAAAGACAGTAACTACTTGAAATAGAGCAAAATTCAGCCTTAGAAAAGAAGGAACTTTATATGGCATGATTGCCTACTGAGAGCATTATGTGAAGTAAAGTAAGCTAGCCACATAAAGACAAAAACTGCATCTTTTCACTTACACAAATTACCTAAAACAGTTGCATTCACAAAATAGAAAAGCAAAAGGCAGTTGTCAGGGAATGGAGTACAAGAAGCTAATAGTCAACAAACGTGCTGTTTCAATCAAGCAAGATGAATACATTACATAGTCATTTTTTGAGCACAAAAATTTATTTTTATTGTATTTATTTCATCAAAAATAGCTTTTCTTTCTTACAAGAAATATTTTCAAAGGTCGTCAGATCCAACTGACAACTGCAGAGATGGCAGAAGCCACTGCGCTGAGCGGAGTGAACTGAGAGCAAGTTTGCTTGCTTCTAAGCAATTTGAACTCAAAAATTACCTATAAAAATGACCTAATTCTGCACTTTGGATCTGAGAAAATTAAAAAATTTTCCAGAAATACACAGGAAATAACAGTTGTCTTAAGTGAAATGTGGAATATTTACATCACTGATTCTACTTAGTTTAAATAAAACAAAGCTAAAAACATTTTATACTTGGGAATAAAATGATTCGTTTATTTAGGTTTTTAAGGCCCAAGAACAAATATTGTCCACATTCAGGAAAAGTCATACTTTCCCAGCAACCCAAGCCTCTTTCTTATAAACTGTGAAAAGTACATTTCAAGCAACTGCTAAGATCTATATGAATGGATAAATAATGAGTCATGGAACCCTAGAGCCATGTGATCAAGCAAGATGGGCACCTGATACATGGGATGATAAAAAGGAACAAACAAAATAACTTCAGAGCTTAATGAACTTCAAAGCTAATTGTTTCTCCTTGCCTTGCCATTCTCAAATGCAAAACTGGGCTAACAGTGGCATGTACTTTACAAAATTATCTTCAAGCTTACAAAGTGAATGTATATAATTGTGTAGCATATTTTAGAAAGTTCGGTTTATAGAGATAACACTACCTGTATACAAGCATGTGTTATCAAAGCTATTTTCATACTATTAAAAACAGAAGGGGTAACTTTAAAAGGGGTAAGCACAGAGAGGAGGATCGGTGAGCCCTGGCAAGCAGAGCAACTTTTAATCATAATTATCACCCAGTTTAGAAAATAGCATCATATCTAGAACTATCTATCATGCTGCCTTTAGAAAGCCTGAGCAAGCCATACATTCTAAACACAGCTAAAGTTGCAAACAATTTATGTCCGTGTCCTTTACTGCAGCTATAAATCACATATTACATGCTCTCAAGAAAAAAAAATAGTCCTGATCTTTACAGATTTATTGAATGATAAATTAGAAGGGACTTTAGAGGTCGTAAAATCTAATCCTATTGTATTGCAAATAAGTAATGGTTTGACAGAAAGGAAGTGTTTTTTTCAAAGATCACTTAATTAATCACCCACCACAAACTGAGGTATGGTTCAGGTCTGCAGGCACCTAGTCCTTCAAATTTCCAATCATGGTTTTTCTCCATACTACAATTCTCTCTCATTTTGAACACACATAATAAAATGATATAGCAAATGGATTAACTCAAGTCTACCAATATTTAAAATGCACTATATACCAGGCCCAGCAGGAAATATAAAACTAATAAAATGTGCTTACTGCTGTTTTTGATAGTGGAACTCAAGAAAAAGTAATGAGGAGCATTATATTGAGTGACCACAGATGACTATGACAAAGTAATAAATAAAAGTCATCACAAAGGTACAATTATTATAAACGTAAAAACAATATGTCATATCACATCCATATCAGGGGAGAAAATATTAAATTGGGTTACGATGGTCAAGAACAACATTTTCTTTTACTAAAAATAGAAAAGGCACCAGTGCTATTTAATGGAAGATAGCAGCCTGGAGACTATGTAGGTTAAAATAATATATAATTGATTTATATATACACATGTCTACAGATTTGTGTCACATCTAAAAACCTGTAAGCAAGTAAGTTGGGTCCTTGTGTTGTTATAATATTTCTGAGTTCTCTTATTTACTTTCTTAATTTATTCTCATAACGTTTTAATGTATTCAAAGTCTAGCAAGCAAATACTTCCTTATAGGAAAATACCCTTTCCTTTTTAAGAATAAGGGCCCTATAAACTTTACTGACTGAACATGAGTCAAGTAAAAGAATTGAATGATTTGAATCGGAATCATATATCCAAGCTGGCAAGTATTGTTCAGTGGGTGCACTTATACAAACAACTGTCAGACCTGAGTTCAAATCCCTTATACCCATGTAAAAACTCAGGCATAGTCACACACACCTATAATCCCAGGACTGGGGGTAGATAGATAAAGACAGGAGGATTACTTGAGCTTGCTGAGTCAGCTCAGTTAATAATCCACATCCCCAGGGTCAGTCAGAGAGCCTGCCTTAAGGGAATAAAGGCAAAAGCAGAGAGTGATAGAAGACACCTAATATCTTCCTCTGATTCCTATGTATATACCACACATGGCATATGTATATACCACAGAGAGAGAGAGAGAGAGAGAGAGAGAGAGAGAGAGAGAGAGAGAGAGAGAGAGAGAGAGATTTTTTATGAGGTTGCTGATAGAATACATGCATTGGTAAGGGCCTGAAGTTTATACCCAGCGCACACACATACGCACAAAAATTGCATAATTATTCTTTTACTTCAACACCTCCCCTGCATGTGCTTAAAAATGGAAATCCCTGATGCTGGCAGAAGTTGCTATCAGAAACAAGAGTCTGCAAGTAAATTAAAAGGGAAAGAGGGGCAAGGTGTTTGATCACTGAGTACTGAATGCCTGCTACATACAAAGCAAAGAATCCAAAAGGAAATGGGATTGCCTCACAATTGTGAACTTGAAGGAAAAAAATGACACTATGTCCTAGACAATATGACACTTACTCATTTGTGCATATAGATTATAATTGCACAACCACCACAAAACTGAATAACTGCTTAGTATGCTAAATTTAAAGATTACACTTCTCACATATGCATTTTATGAATTCATAAGCTTTCTTTTTGTTGCAGTCTAAGGAGAAACTCTGATTTTTTTTTAAACGAAAATTTATGACAGTGCCGAAATTTTCTTTCTAGGTTAGATGAGCAGAATCGCATAACTTCATAATCAGAAATATTTTATACATTTAAGATTCATTTAGTGAATCTTTATCAGTGTGTTAAGACATGGGCGAAGCAAATAAAAGAAAAAGTTACTGCCTGATTAACAAAATTTAAGAGCCAACTTGAGTAATTCTCAATCAGCAACAGACACTTGACCAGACTATAGCAGATTCCGAAGGTTGACTCCTTACCCGGAGAAAGGAGGACAATGGAAAAAGGAGAAGATATTAGAAATACCCCCAAAAGAAATGGTTGCCGAAGTACAGGGTGAACACATTTTATATCTTTGAATTTCCTTTATTTTCTCTTTTTATTTCCATTTCTTTGTCAGAAGATTTCCTTTGGAAAATTCCAGCCTGCATCTACTTTACAAAAGTAAACTGGAAGAAGGTGTTTATTTTATTAACACTGGGACCACACATAAAAAAAAAAAGTGGCAGTCTCTGGGGAATCTTTCTGGCACACAAGAATGAGGGTCACCATAACACAACAAAAATTGAGAAGTGTCAGGTTGCTACTGCCCCAGGAAAGCCTTTCTGTATTCATTTCTGACATATGTATTGTATCTGTTTGATTCATAACAGTAATTTTTTGAAAGGACACACACCTTAAAGTTTAAGTATCCAAACTTCTAAAACTATTGCTCTCCAGAAGTATATATGTGAAATTATACCAAAGCCAAGTACTATTTGAGTCTTTTGAGTCTGGGGATCTAGTTCAAGCCCCATTATCCATTCTTCTTTTAAACAAAATTGTGCTCCAAGCAAATTAAGAAAATCTTGTTTAATATTCTAATTCCTATTCCTAGAAAACTAAGTCCTTGGATGAGATTTTCAAAATTATTTCCTATTTAAGCTTTATAATTAAATATGTATAGAAAAATGTCATTTCCTAGAAAAAATATTTTAAAATGTTATGTTCATCTTTGAATGCAAACATCTGTGACCACTCATGGTCCCTATTCCAAGTCTCCCTCCCCTTGGGAATGTAAAAAGATGAAGGGAAAGCAAGGAGGCATGGAAGCCAATGGGCAGCCCTAAATCTGTCAGTATAGCTTTGATGTGCCATCACACTCTGGACCTGCACTTAAGGCTGCTACATTCCCATGACCCTTCCGGGCTGCCCCTGAGGTCACTAACTCTTTTCTGTAATTTATGATTTCAGCTTGAGCGTACTCTGACGTTACAACGTAAGAACAGGGGCTACAATAAGAAGGAAACTTTGTGGAGGAACTACGGTGCCAGAAAGAGGTATGGCTCCGGTTTCAGAATGAACTCGGTTTTTTCAATGTGCAATTTTCTTAAGGAAGTTGTGTTTCTCATCATCTGTACTGAAATAAAGTCGGCACCAGTTGTGCTTACTGCTTCCTTTCATTAATCAATCCGTGATTCATTTGCTTTGTGCTAAAGTGACTTTTACTAGACTTACTACAACCTCTCCAAACAACTGAGTTATTACTCCTCAGCACCCACTTCCTTTCCCAACTGTGAGGCTTCCAAAGGAACTCTCAGTGTCCATCTCCTAGGGGTCACATCATTAGGAAAATCAGAGTAAATTATGCAAAACCTAATTAAGTGTTGCACAGACATTTTATGTCATTGTATTTCAAATGGCTACTTTACACTAAGTGATTTCTACCCCTTTAAAATTTAGTCCTTGTTTGAAAAATTCTATAATTTTCTTTTCACGGCTTAATATAAATAATTGGCTTCTGTGTAAATAAAGATTCAAACCCGAATACTGAAATTTATAAGGAAGTCCATTCTGTTTCAAAGAGCTCTGCTGGTTGTTAACGCAATTAGACAGCATTCATGTCTTTGTGTTCTTTTTCATTGTTATTTATTAGCTCTATTTGGCATCTTTTGTTCAAGCAGCAGAGAACTTCAAATTTATTTGTAATGTGCAATGAATGAAGAAATATTTGTATGTCAACAGTTTGGGTATTTTTAACCCTTAAAATTAAGCTTTATAATTTAGTTTCTTAGTACTTTAGGAAGCAGTTTATTTACATCAGCATCTTTAGTCTCCAAAGTTGAAAAGACTTTAAATTATAGTGCCAAGAAAGATCACTCTAAGTGGTTTCAAACGGAAAATTATGCTTTCAAATGGTAAGGTTTCTATCATTCCAACTAACATTGAACATTTATGGACAAAGAAGATGAGTAACTGGTCCTGTATAAAGCGCTGCCTTATGTATCAACCAGAGTCCAGAAGAGAAGAAAACACATCACTGATATGCAAGACAGACTGAAAATTCTCCAGGAGTACTACAAAGATAGAACTTTTTTTGGAAGGACAACGAAAGAAGGCATAGTTAAGAAGGTGCAATTCAATCTGAACAATGAAATAGAAAGGACATGAGATGGTAGATGTGGTTTTGATTTGGTCTGTTTACTGCTTTTGAGCCAAGGTCTCCCTATGTGGCCCAGGCTGATTCCAAATACATCATCTTCCTGCCTCAGCTTTCCCAGTGTGGAGATTACAGAAATGTATCACCAAGGTGGGCTTGAGACAGAGCTGTTAACCTACTTTCTAGTGGAAGTCAGTTCACAGTATATACAGATATCAAATCATCATTCATGAAGTCATTAGTAATTATTTCATGGCAACAATATAAGATCTGTTGTATATCATATTGTAGAAACATATTTAAAAGCATGCTACATTGATTTCTAAAATGTTGGGAATAAAACTAAAAGGGGAAAAGCTATATCAAAAATCTCAATAGCACCATCTAGTGCCTCATGGCATAAAATGGCTCCGTTTGCCTAAAATGGTATCAACAAAAATGTTAGGATTAATTCGGGGAAGTTTCCCTTTCTTTACCTGAATTCAGGAAGCCAATACAAAAAGAAACCTGGAACACAAATTGAAAACTAATGCTGACGTTAGAAATGGTGGGCTGGTTTTATTCTATAACCTGAGAATTATCCCTCTTCATTTTTAAAAATCTTATATCAATAGCTCTTGTTGAAAGTGTTGTTTTAAAGGCTAGAAAAAATATAAATAGCTGGAATGGCAAGATGGATGGCTGACAAATCATGAACAGCAGATGAAACTGTTCCTGGCTGGAAGCCTGGCAAGTTCTATCCCACCTGCAACAACCACCAGAGCTGTCTGCTTCCATATTCCTGCTATGTTGACAAGATCCATCCTATTCCACACTAGCAGTTCTTCAACTCTTAAGCATTCTCCGAGACACCTTGTTTACCAGGGAGCGAGAGATAAAGAAAAGTCAACAAATCAATAAGAGACTAGGTATTGAACTGCTTCCACTTTGAAAAGGAAGTGACAAGATCTGTAGAACCCTGAAGAAATGACTATATCTATGCTATCTCATCCCTCGCTGTTTCTAATCAGAGGCTGTTAGCTGCCAGGATGAACTTGGATATACCAAATACTAATCTTTGCTATGAAAGAACTGAGTATGGCTAAGCTCAAAGCTTTGAGTACAAGTCTGAGAAGAGAACGGGAATGAACAGCTACAACTATTTCCTCACCCAAAAAGTACATTCTGACTAACTATGCCATATTTTTCCTCAGAGCCTTACACTATGACACAGGTGAAGTATGGATTTCACCTCTCTGGTACTTTATTGTCATTGTTATCACAACTATGTGGCCACTAGATTTCTGCTGTGAAGTTCTATGGTTCTAAATAGAGTTAATTCCAGATTAAGAATCTCTTCTAAAATGAATTAGATTGTTTTCCCTGGGTATGACCTACATCCAGAAGATATGAAGAGTTTTTTTTTATGGAAAAGAAAGAATTGTTGTGCAGATTTTAGCCACTTACTAAACTTAAAGCTCTTATAAAGCAACACAATAATAATTAGATGATGATGATGATTGATGATGATAGATACATACATACACAGCCATATATGTAAAAACAAGTATATTTAAAGCTTTTTCTCTAAGTAAAAAATCATAAATTCATTCAAGGGCAATTTTATGGAATAGTACTGGAGCAGTACAATCTACAATATGAGGGAGATATTTTACTTAGGTCTTGAGAATTAAGAAGACTTCTTTTAGGAAAACATAGATGAGAAAAGAGAAAAAAGTTTTCTTCAGGTCTAGAGGACCCAGACCTTCCTCCTGGGGGCAAAGTTCAAGTGACTCTCTCCTCATTACCTGACAACAATTGCTTCCAGCTGTGGTGGGTGTGCATGTGAGCAGCACTAATTGGAGTCAGTGAGTTATTTTTTAAAAGGAGAGAAAGAGAGAAGATGAAATTGGGAGGGAGACACGCTGAGAGGGGCTTGGATGGCAAGGCAGAGGCTGGGCATGATCAAAATACACGTTGTGTATATGTATGAAATTTTCAAAAAATAATAGAAATCTATTTAATATTTTAATTACGTATAAAATTATAGTGGCACTATGAAATTAATTAGCGTGCACTATGATTTGAAAAGCTAGTTTAATTGACAAGATCTTTTCATATGTTGTAGGCACCAAGCAGACATTCCTGGAGAACATGGATGAAGCTGAAAATCTGACAATATCTTCTGCCAATAATAACACATGCCACGACACGATCGACGACTTCCGCAATCAAGTGTACTCCACAATGTACTCTATGATCTCTGTTGTGGGTTTCTTTGGCAATAGCTTTGTGCTCTATGTCCTCATAAAAACGTATCATGAGAAATCAGCCTTCCAAGTATACATGATTAATCTAGCCATAGCAGATCTACTGTGTGTTTGTACATTGCCTCTCCGTGTGGTCTATTATGTGCACAAAGGCAAGTGGTTCTTTGGTGACTTTTTGTGCCGCCTCACCACATATGCCTTGTATGTTAACCTCTATTGTAGCATCTTCTTTATGACAGCAATGAGCTTTTTCCGGTGTGTTGCTATTGTTTTTCCTGTCCAGAACATTAATTTGGTTACACAGAAAAAAGCCAGGTTTGTGTCTATTGGAATTTGGATTTTTGTGATCTTGACTAGTTCTCCATTTTTAATGTCCAAATCTTACCAAGATGAGAAAAACAATACTAAATGCTTTGAGCCCCCAAAGGACAATCAAACTAAAAAATATGTTTTGGTCTTGCACTATGTGTCATTATTCATTGGCTTCATCATCCCCTTTGTCATCATAATTGTCTGTTACACAATGATCATTCTGACCTTACTAAAAAATTCAATGAAGAAAAATCTGCCAAGTCGTAGAAAGGCTATAGGAATGATCGTAGTTGTGACAGCTGCCTTTTTAATTAGCTTCATGCCATATCATATTCAACGAACTATCCACCTTTACTTTTTACACAGTGAAGCTAGACCCTGTGATTCTGTCTTAAGGATGCAGAAGTCAGTGGTCATAACCTTATCTCTAGCTGCATCCAATTGTTGCTTTGACCCTCTCCTATATTTCTTTTCAGGTGGAAACTTTAGGAGAAGACTATCTACATTTAGAAAGCATTCTTTTTCTAGTATGACTTACGTACCCAAGAAGAAAGCTTCCTTGCCAGAGAAAGGAGAAGAAATATGTAAAGAATAATTCAAACCCATCTCCAGTGCAGAACAATGACAAATATTTTCCTAAATTGCAATTAAAACATAGTTTCCCATTAATAATTTACAAATTATTAAATATATCTCATTTATAAACCCTATCATTTGATATTTTAAGTGTTCAAAATTCAGTTTATCACTGTGACCTAAGCCATAGATTTTTTTTTTACTATTCCCTAGAAGGTAGAAAATATTTGAGGTTCTGACCTATAAAACTGAATATGAAATCAAGATATTTTCTTTTTAAATAAAGGGCTAATAAAGGATATGAACTAGAATTTGAGCCCAGCTCATAAATATAGCTTTAAAATTAGCAAATAGTCATCAGTCATCCTAACTTGTCCCTTTGCATGCATGCCATCAGATGAGACCTGGAGATGACCCAGAAGCTAAAGAAATGTAAGATCAGCCTATTTCTTTGTAGTACTGACTAGCGAGGCAAAGCAGGGCCCCATCTTCCAGAAGAGAATGTTCAAGTACTAGAACAGACCAGTATTCAGCCAAATAACTCTACAGTCTGCATGCGATTTACAATCTGGAAACCAAGGGAGATAAATACGATAAAAAGCCAGCTTGTCTCCAATTCTCTTCTGTCCTTGCTTGACTCAAACCCCCAAAAGAGAATGGGGTTTTTCTAGCTTATTGAGGTTCCTATTATGAATTCAATCCTAACTGAAAATATTGGATTAATGAATAAACCAACCGACATTGCTATATATGAACAGAAACAATTAAAATTCATCTGAAGAAAAGGAAAGAGATCTACCTTTCTACAGGAGTTTTATTTTGATCAAAATTTACTATATAAGATAGAAGAAAATTTGAATAGCTATCATTCTCTTAAGAAGTGCACTTATGTATATGTATATAAATATATGTAATCTATCTTGTTCTATGTTATGCATTTATTGTTAGTTAATTATGAGATTTATTGTTGTTTATACTGTCTGCTTTTTTATAGCATGTTGAAAACAATATCATTTATTTGCAGTGATTTTTATATTATAGCAAAAGCTTTGTTCTTAAAACAAACCATTGGAAACAGCTTGGTTGTGACTAAAATACGATATTTATTGGCAAAGTTTTGCTGAGGTTCATTCTGTTCTTAACTCTGAGTTTCAAAAGTCACAATACCTCAGAATAAATAAATGATAATAGAGATGGAAAAAAGGAAAACCGTGAATGGAGTTCTGTTTTCATCTGCCACATGTGAGCCATTTCTATTTCACTTCTACTGCTTCACTCTTTTGGGAAATAAAAAAAGGACATAATGAAGAAAGACTCTTAGGGAACAGAAATAACTGGAACTCTGTTGAACATATCTGAAACCTGGTAGTACCTATTATTTTTGCTCTATATTATTTCCTTTTGCTTGAGACAAATATCAAATACATTTGTCATGAGAAAACAGGTCTCATTTTCTATATTTCTGTTTTGGGGAAATCAGCATAGTGTGTTAGAAGGGCACAATACTGGCAGTTAGAACACCTGCATGCTAATCTGGTCTCTATTAATAGTTATGTAACTTTAAGTGAGACCCATAAACGCAGAACCTCAATTCCTCAACTGTAGAATGAGAATGACACTTGTTTTGCCTTTCTTGTGAGAATTTTCAGGATTAAAATACAATTAGACATGCTAAAATTTTAACCTAAAATGTGTAGTAAGGTGTCATTTTAAAGTATTTAGAAAGGGGCTTTCAAATATGCTTATTCATATTTATTGTATCAGTTCTCAATTTTGAAAGAATTATTTCCATCCATTTGCATGCAAAATTCGAGAAGTCATTGTTTTTTACCGCAGCATAATACTCTAATGTGTATATATTCCACACTTTCTTCATCTATTCTTCCATTGAAGGGCATCTAGGTTGTTTCCAGGTTCTGGCTATTACAAATAATGCTGCTATGAACATAGTTGAACAAATGCTTTTGTCATATGATAGGGCATCTCTTGGGTATATTCCCAAGAGTGGTATTGCTGGGTCCAGGGGTAGGTTGATCCCGAATTTCCTGAGAAACCGAAACACTGATTTAGAAAATATAACCATAGTTAAATTCTATTGCATATAAATAATCATGTTGCTTATCTATTCTTACATCCATGCGTTTGTCTGTGTTTGCATTTTCACTCACATATGTACCCATGCATACAGGAAAGACAGACCACAAAACCTTCAGTCACCTGCAAATTCACAATGAATGGATTGTTCTTTCATGAATTAAGTCTTTGTAGCCTACATCATACAACTCACTTCTTACTACTTTTCCAAGTTTTCTCCATGTGTGTTAATATTTTATCCCAAAGTGAAGTACTCCATGTAGAATTATCAATTCTGAGGTTACAAATTACATCATTACATGGAGGTATCTAACATTTAATTACCTATCCATATTATACTTTGTTTTTAGGGGGTTTTATTTTGTTTTGTTTTGTTGGGAAGTTTGTTTGTTTGTTGGCCAAACAGAACCATAAATTTATTGGGGAATGCACACTCACAACATCACACGACTATGGCACATTTACTCAGGACATTAAGGTGGCCTCTGTCCTTAAAATAGGACCCAATTCGTTGCAGCCTCTTTCCATACAACCTAGACCCTGCTGGGTCCTTCCTCTGGGGCAACTGAGGAAGGGAGGGTGTTGCTGGGGTGGCCCTCAGACCTGGTGGGGGTGAGCAGGCAGGTTAGTACAGCAGACCTGGCTGAGTGGAGGCCACCTCACTCCAGGGACTGCAGCCTCAGCAACTGCTTCAACGCTCATCTCTCAGATTTCACCTGCCAGGAGCATCTCATCTACAATTGTGTAAACCTTGTAGAAGTTGAAAACCAGGTCCAGATCACAGACATTGTGGAAATATTCATTTAGCACTTCCACAAATTTGTAGATGGTTTCGAGATAGACCAGAATTTTTTAATTTATTTATTTATTAAAGATTTCTGCCTCCTCCGGGCCACCGCCTCCCGTTTCCCTCCCCCTCCCCCAATCAAGTCCCCCTCCCTCGTCAGCCCGAAGAGCAATCAGGGTTCCCTGCCCTGTGGGAAGTCCAAGGACCACCCACCTCCATCCAGGTCTAGTAAGGTGAGCATCCAAACTGCCTAGGCTCCCACAAAGCCAGTACGTGCAGTAGGATCAAAAACCCAGTGCCATTGTCCTCATTGTCCGCTATGTTCAGCGAGTCCGGTTTTATCCCATGCTTTTTCAGACCCAGGCCAGCTGGTCTTGGTGAGTTTCCGATAGAACATCCCCATTGTCTCTGTGTGGGTGCACCCCTCGGTCCTGAGTTCCTTGCTCGTGCTCTCTCTCCTGCTCCTGATTTGGACCTTGGGATTTCAGTCCGGTGCTCCACTGTGGGTCTCTGGATAGACCAGAATTTTGTCCTTCATGACCACACAGATACAGAGTAGAGTCTAGTGTAGTATAGTTAAAAGATCTTGAAGTTCCAGAACTCCACAAAGTTAGTGTGATTGGCATCCCTAAGAGTGACCAAGGCATGTATCTCCTCAATCAACTTCTGTTTCTCATCATCATCAAACTACATGTACCACTTGGCCAAGCACATCTTGCCACTTGGTTCTGGATGAGAATGAAATGAATGACGGTGACCCCTGTCACTGTATTCTGTTTTAAATGCTTCACCTGTATAAATATATTAATACATATGCCCTTTAGAGTAAGTGTTATTACCATCCTCATTGTGCCAGCGAGTTTCAGAACGAAGGTTCAACACAAGGCATTTTGTTGTTAAGAATCTATGTTTTTAATTTGCTAAATATTTGTGCAAACATTTTCAGGTACAAAGAAGAGATTTACTATACACGATTATGCCTTACATTAGTAATATCTCTGTGCCCTTAATTTTTGTAATAGGACAGGTATGTTATGCCCTTACCAAAAACATATGAGAAATAAGTGATAGACAAAAAGAGAGAAAGATGATGATGATGGATAGATGATGCATTAAAGTGTGGTGTTTAAATATACAAATTCTATGAACACATGCCTGTGATTTAGTCAGAAGAATGTCATGAGAATATTATATAATAAATTAGAATATTGAAATTAGAAGGAGGTTCATATTTGCCAACCCTAATGGAAAAATAATAATAGCCTATAGCATTAACATTCCACAATCTTCACAGAAATCCCTTTTGTCACCAGCAGCCCTGTTAAATCTCATAAACTAGCAAGATTAGCTCTCATTATACATTTGACTTTTTATTTCATTCATCAAGTATCACTTCTGTATCCTCAAAAACATTTCTGATCTTAAGCAAATGTCTCTATTTTAGTTTTCAGAATAAACATATTTGGTTTTGTGTGTTCTTCTTAAACTGTAAGCTGATTTTTCTTGGCTATAAATTTTCCTGGGTTTGCAGAAAAGTAAAATGATTATGCAATGATAATTTTAATTGGCCTGTAAGGGTAATAAATGTACCTTTCAATAATCTTCTCTTACTAAAACATCAGTGACCCCAAATGTAGAAAAAATAAATGCATGAAAGGTCAGATTAGTATCACAATAATATACTCAAGGGATACATTCTAGTAAACATCATAACACAAGCCAGTAGGCAAATATTCTATTCTGCCTCATGTGTATAACCTGGGTTTGATTGACTTTGCCTGATAGAAAGGTGTTCTCTGACACATCCCAAAAGCTCTCTGTTACTCTAGATAAAAACGAAAGACAAATCATTTCTCAATCTTTCGGCTATGATCAAGTATAGAAACAAAAGATGATTCCGAACTGCTCCTTTATTTGTTCATTGTTTAGCTTTTCTCTGCATTATATAGTTCCCCTTTACATAATTCCTACCATCATCCCTGCTAATGCATAAGAATATATTTCTATCGTAACTAAAACAGTATTACCTAATTTGTTTATTAAACAGATTTGTGTAATATACCTTCTCAAGCTATATTTAATGGGGAAGTGGTTGCAGGCTCCCACATCTAACCAAGACTCTATTTGCAAGTGAAACACACAGGCAAGGAAAAATCAGCTTTTCCAATGGGGTCTCACTTCATATATTACCAACTACTTAACATGTCTAGGAGTAGTTGATCAACTTAAACTTAATGACATTTTTGTAGACTTTTTGTCTCATTTTGCTTTGTTAGAGTATCTTTTGTCAGATGGTCTTTTGCTTATTATGATTTCTGTCTTTTTGTTCTGGTTTGTGTGTGTGTGTGTGTGTGTGTGTGTGTGTGTGTGTGTGTTGAATTTTTGGTTTTGTTTGTTTTTGGGGGGATGCTTGGTTTTTGTTTTTCAAGTTTTTTGTTTTGTTTTGTCTCTTTTCAAGACAGGGTTTATCTATGTAACAGTCCTAGCTGTCCTTGAACTCACTTCATTTTGAATTTACAGAGACCTGAATGCCTCTGCCTCCTGAGTACTGGGATTAAAGGCATACGCCACCATGCCCAGCTTTATTTCTGTTTTTTTTTTTTTTTTAAGAGAAATAAAAAGAATATAAATTGGGTGAGAAGAGAGCTGAGAAAGATCTGGGAGGTGTTGAGAGAGACAAAAATATGATCAAAATATGTTGCATTTTTCAATAAAAATACATTTAAATGTATCCCAAGTACCTGATCTTATAGTTTCTCCTAATACCTAGTCAGTTTATCTAGGAAATTCATTGCATGTCATTAGCACTGTCTTGGAGATTTAATATTTAATAAAGCCTAACTGTCCTGATAGAAAGTTGTATTTTAATGTAGAAAGTTATATTGTTGAATATTGAATGGGAAAGATTAACATCTGTTATTGCTCAGTTTTACTGCACAAGGCAAAAATAAAAATTACCGTGTTATTTCCTGAACATCAATGACTATGTGAATTTCATGTTTTTGTATTTAATATTCTTAGCTGGGCAGATATTAACAATAGGTATTTAAAAATATCATTAAATACAGAAATAATGTCTCCCATTCCATAAAAAGGAGATTCTGCTTTCTACAACTTTGAGAAAGACTAATACAAATTATTATCTAATTATAATTTCCTTTTGAAAATAGCTTCAAAAATTAGCAATAAAAATGTTTCATTTTTCTAGGGTGAAGGTTATAACGTGCCAGGAGATTTGGTTCTCTTTAATGTTCATTGTTCTGGGATTTAGATGCCTAACTTCTATTTTATTGTTTTGGTTAAACTTTTATATGCATATATTTTCCTGTTATTTAATTATTTCTTTGATTTTTTTGATGATAGAATTACACCATTTCCCCTACCCATTTCCTTCCTCCAAACCTTCCTAAATATTTCTCCTTGCTCTCTTTCAAATCATGGCCTCTTATTTTCATTATGTGTTGTTATATACATACATATATACATACATGGGTGTATATATAATATATGTATGAGATATGTATATATTCCTAAACATTTAAATACAACCTGATCAGTATGTATAATGTCACTTGTATGTATATATGTTTTCAGGCCTGATCATTTGGTATTAGATACCCAATTAGTGTGTTCTTCCCTGGGGAAGACTTTTCTCCCATTCTCAACATTCCTTAGTTGCTGATATGGTTGAGGCCTCACATGGGCCTTATCATGTCTGTTGTTGTTATCCTTGTTCAGCTCATGTTCTAACATTCTTTTTTTTTTATTGAGAAAAGGAAAAAAAAATTTCTGCCTCTTCCCAGCCTCCCATTTCCCTCCCCCACCTCCCACCCTTCTCCCCCTCCCCCCACTCCTTTCCCCCTCCCTCTCCAGTCCAAAGAGCAGTCAGGGTTCCCTGCCCTGTGGAAAGTCCAAGGTCCCCACCCCTCCGTCCAGGTCTAGGAAGGTGAACATCCAAACTGGCTAGGCTCCCACAAAGCCAGAACATGAAGTAGGATCAAAACCCCATGCCATTGACCTTGGCTTCTCAACAGACCTCATTGTACGCCATGTTCAGAGAGTCAGGTTTTATCCCATGCTTTTTCAGTCACAGTCCAGCTGGCCTTGGTGAGCTCCCAATAGATCAGCCCCACTGTCTCTGTGGGTGGGTGCGCCCCTCGTGGTCCTGACTTCCTT